GTGCGACGTTGCAGAATCGGATCCCATAGGTGTGAATACCCGTGCGATCCGATTCTAGTGCCGACCAAAAAAGGGTTCTGCACGTTTTTCATGCAGGTGCATTGTAAATAGAGCCATACGTAATGTACGACTCCAATCGCACCGCACAAATCGCTTGTGATATGTACAGGAATGCAGTGTGGTTCCTATGCAAATCACATGCGATATACCGAGCCGCATGTATGTGGACCCGAGCTCACACCGAGAAGTTTTTCAAATGTTCTTGTGTAAAAAAAAAACAAAAAAAAATGCCTGAAAAGCTCAAGAAAACTGCTTCCCTGTGTATGTGAATGTATATCCATGTATGTGTTCACACTGAGGCTTTGTGCCTGCCGTGTAAAAACATCTTTGGGGCATATTTGGAAAGTTAAAAAAAATGCCCCAAAAATGCCTCTTCCCATTGAAATCAATGCAAAAACGCCTGAAACGCGCATTAACACTTCTGAGAAGCATTTTTGGTGCAGTTTTTAAATCATGTGTCCTTTAACCCCTCGCCTACCGGGCACTTCTACCCCCTTCCTGCCTACCGGGCACTTCTACCCCCTTCCTGCCTACCGGGCACTTCTACCCCCTTCTTGCCTACAGGACACTTCTACCCCCTTCTTGCCTACCGAGCGCTTCTACCCCCTTCCTGCCTACCGGGCACTTCTACCCCCTTCCTGCCTACCGGGCACTTCTACCCCCTTCCTGCCTACCGGGCACTTCTACCCTTCCTGCCTACCGGGCACTTCTACCCCCTTCCTGCCTACAGGACACTTCTACCCCCTTCCTGCCTACAGGGCACTTCTACCCCCTTCCTGCCTACAGGGCACTTCTACCCCCTTCCTGCCTACAGGGCACTTCTACCCCCTTCCTGCCTACAGGGCACTTCTACCCCCTTCCTGCCTACAGGACACTTCTACCCCCTTCCTGCCTACAGGGCACTTCTACCCCCTTCCTGCCTACAGGACACTTCTACCCCCCTTCCTGCCTACAGGACACTTCTACCCCCTTCCTGCCTACCGGGCACTTCTACCCCCTTCCTGCCTACCGGGCACTTCTACCCTCCTCCTGCCTACCGGGCACTTCTACCCCCTTCCTGCCTACCGGGCACTTCTACCCCCTTCCTGCCTACCGGGCACTTCTACCCCCTTCCCGCCTACAGGACACTTCTACCCCCTTCCCGCCTACAGGACACTTCTACCCCCTTCCCGCCTACCGGGCACTTCTACCCCCTTCCCGCCTACAGGACACTTCTACCCCCTTCCCGCCTACCGGGCACTTCTACCCCCTTCCTGCCCACCGAGCACTTCTACCCCCTTCCTGCCTACAGGACACTTCTACCCCCTTCCTGCCCACCGGGCACTTCTACCCCCTTCCTGCCTACAGGACACTTCTACCCCCCTTCCCGCCTACCCACTTTACCCCCTTGCCTACCGGGCACTTCTACCCCCTTCCTGCCTACAGGGCACTTCTACCCCCTTCCTGCCCAGGCCAAGTTTCAGCTTTCAGTACTGTCACACTTTGAATGACAATTGCGCGGTCATGCAACCCATATGAAATGTTTATCATTTTTTTTGTGACAGATAGAGCTTTATTTTGGTGGTATTTAATCATCTCGGGGATTTTTATTTTTTCTTAAACAAACCAAAAACCACACAAAAAAATTAAAAAAAAAAAAAAGTTTCTTAGTTTTTGTTATAACATTTTGTAAATAAGTGATTTTGCTCCTTAACTGATGTGCGCTAATGAGGCTGCAGTGACGGGCACTGATGAGGAGGCACTGGTAGGTTGCACGGATGGGCATGGACAGGCATCACTGATGGGCACTGAAAGGCAGCACTGATATATGGCACTGATACATGGCACTGTTAGGCGGCACTGACTGGCACTTATAGGTGGCACTGATTGGCAGCAATGATAGGTAGCACTGACTGGCACTGATGGGTGACACTGAAAGGCACCACAGATGGGCACTGATATGTGTGTAATAGATTATCTAGCGAGCTCTACCTTTAAAAACTGTTAATAATATAACAAAGGCACTGATATGGCACTGGCACGAGGCACTGATGAGCACTGACATAAGGCACTGATGGACACTAACAGGTGGCACTGCTGGGGCTACACTGATCATCAGGGCACACTGATCATCGGTGCCCTGACTATCAGTGTACATGTCCCCTCCGAGGAATGCCGATCACCGGCTCTCCTCTCCTCTGTCAGCGTGACAACTCGATGGGAGAGAAATGCCGATAACCGGCATTTCCCTGTTTACATGTAATCAGCTGTGATTGGAAACAGCTGATTACATGATCGAGCCAACAACTTCGGCTCTTTCCGTGATCCGCTGTGTGCGAGGGACACAGCGCACCTCCGATCGCCGCGCACTCCCTGAGCCAAGCATGCGCAGTGAGAACGTCATATGACGTCCTCCCAGAACGAGAGAACCACCTTGCGCCCGTCCTATTACTATGTGGCGGGCGGAAGGTGGTTAAAAAAAACGCCCAGAAAGCGCAGTAAAAACACCTAGGTGTCTTTGCTGTGGTGCAGCCGCACCACCCGCACAGAGAAATGCGGATCCACGGGACGGTGCCATTAATTCTAATGGCACGCCACCCACATTGGAAAACGCAACCGTAGTGGGAACCTCGGCTGCGTTTTCAGAAAAAGTGCCGGGACGACTTCTCTGTGTGTTACAGGGCATGCGAGTCCATTCAAATGAAAGGGCTCTCATGCCTGCGCAAAACGTGTCCCGCCAGCCGCATGTATGTGAACTGGGGGTAAGTGCGTTTAATTACCACCTTAGCCTCAGAACCTGTGTAATTAACCGCTTTGACGCCACCCAATACCAGAAACACTGATTATATATATATATATTTAAAAAAAAAAAAAAAAAAATATATATATATATATATATACATACATACACACACACACGATTTTGCATTTCCGGGTAGGGGGCGCGAGTCCTACCCACATTGCCATTCACGGACCCGGCTGTTGATCACCGGGTCCCAGCCCACAATTCCCCGGCAGCACCCGGCGATCACCAAGCATCAGTGACGGGGGAGAGACCCGTGTATAAACAACACAGATCTCTCCAGTCAGCTCCTGCACACTGCTTTGTATGGCTCTGCATAGCAGCATGCTTACAGTGAACCACACACAGCACACAGTTAACCCTTTGATGTTAACCCCTTCCTGCCCATTGCCATTAGTAGTGTCAGTGCTTTTTATTAGCACTGATCACTGTATTGGTGTCACCGGGGATGTCAGTGAAACTATATTTTGGTTATAAAATATATCCAATAAAAGTTGATCATAAATTTAGACCATAATGTATTCTGTTACATCTCTTTTGGTTAAAAAAAAAAAAAAAATCCCACTACATGTATATTAATTGAGAAAAAATAAATTTTGTACAGCGAGCGCTCAATAATAGATATAAATAGAGTAGTTATATAACCAGCTGCAAATGCACCGACATAGGAATCCCAAAACCTAGTAAAAGTACATGAACATAAAAAGGTGCAGCGCTAAAATATGTGAGAAATCTTGATCTATCAATAATAAAAAGATACAATCAATATATATAAAAACTTCCAGGTGGACATGGCGCTTAATCAGTGATAATTGCACAGTCTAATGAATAAGAAGTGTTCAAAAAAAAAAAAAAAGGCACAGGCTTGACTTGATTAGGTCAGCAATAAAAGTGGTTAACTTTCAACTTCGTAGGCATTTCCCATAAGAAAATCCTCGTGATAAGAATCCGTGCAGCAATGTATAAATGCGCACTCACCAGATGCACATAGGTAATGCGCATTGAACCAATATGACTCTGTGGGGCCCCTTTAAATGGAACAGCCAGCCTGGAGCAAGGATCCCTCATCTGGACACCAGCTTCACATGTATCCACGCTTCCTCTGGGGGTCTCTATGACCAGTTAGCTCAGAGCTACAGCCGACCTGAAGCCTGATACAGGAAGACTCCACAGCAAGAGAAGTGCTGACCTAATCAAGTCAAGCCTGCACCTCTGTTTTGAATACTTATTCATTAGACTGCAATTATCACTTCTCATTTGTGCGCCTGATTACGCGCCATATCCACCTGGAAGTTTTATATACATTGATTGAATCGCTCCTTCAGCATTACCTATAATGCTACCACCTCCCCCTCTCTGTTGGGGTCCCTCAAGGCTCCGTCCTCGGGCCCCTTCTCTTCTCCATCTACACCTCCACCCTTGGCCAACTCATACACTCTCACGGCTTCAACTATCACCTCTATGCCGACGACACACAAATCTATCTCTCTACCCCCACACCTCACCCCCTCGGTCTCCCCCGAATCACCCGCCTACTGAGCGACATATCAGACTGGATGTCACTCCACTTCCTTAAACTGAACCTCTCCAAAACCGAGTTTCTTGTCTTCCCCCCAGCCCGAACCCCACCCCCCCCATTGACTTCTCCATCACATCCAACAATACCACTATCAGACCCGCCCAGCAGGCCAGAGTACTTGGTGTCATTCTGGACTCCAACCTATCCTTCCAGCTCCAAGTCCAATCTTTAACAAACTCGTGCAAACTCCACCTCCGCAACATGCAGACTCCGCCTCCGCAACATGCAGACTCCACCTCCGCAACATGCAGACTCCACCTCCGCAACATGCAGACTCCGTCTCCGCAACATGCAGACTCCGTCTCCGCAACATCGACAAAATCCGCACGTTCCTAACCCCAGAAACCACTAAACAGCTCATCCACTCCCTCATCATATCACGACTCGACTACTGCAACTCCCTCCTCACTGGCCTGCCTCACGGCAGGCTATCCCCGCTTCAGTCCATCCTGAATACGGCTGCCAGACTCATTCACCTTTTCAAACCGCTCCGTTTCCGCCACCCCCCCCCTCTGCCAATCCCTCCACTGGCCTCCACTCAGTGTCCTCCACCCCCCTCTGCCAATCCCTCCACTCAGTGTCCTCCACCCCCCTCTGCCAATCCCTCCACTGGCCTCCATTCAGTGTCCTCCACCCCCCTCTGCCAATCCCTCCACTGGCCTCCATTCAGTGTCCTCCACCCCCCTCTGCCAATCCCTCCACTGGCCTCCATTCAGTGTCCTCCACCCCCCTCTGCCAATCCCTCCACTCAGTGTCCTCCACCCCCCTCTGCCAATCCCTCCACTGACCTCCATTCAGTGACCTCCACCCCCCTCTGCCAATCCCTCCACTGGCCTCCACTCAGTGTCCTCCACTCCCCTCTGCCAATCCCTCCACTGGCTTCCGATTGCGCAACGGATCAAATTCAAAATCCTAACACTGACGTACAAAGCCGTCCACCATACTGCCCCGAACTACATCACTGACCTAATATCCAAGTACCCCCCAACAGGCACACTCCGCTCCTCACAAGACCTCCTTCTCTCTAGTTCCCTGGTCTCCTCCTCCCATGCCCGCCTCCAGGACTTCTCCAGGGTGTCACCCATCCTCTGGAACTCCCTGCCCCAACCCATCAGATTATCACCTACTCTCCTCTCCTTTAGGCGCACCCTGAAAACCCATCTCTTCAGGGAAGCCTACCCCACCCCCTGCTAACTTGCCGACCTCCTCCACTCTTCCTACCCACTCCATCCCCCACAGCTATCTCCTCCTGTGCCACCACCCCCTCCCTCCTAGATTGTAAGCTCCAAGGAGCAGGGCCCTCAATCCCCTCATGTTTTGCATTGTATTGTTATTGTTCTGTCACATGTTCTGTCCCCCTCTGTAATGTACAGCGCTGAGCCAAACTATTGGCGCTTTATAAATACTGTATAATAATAATAATAATTGATCAAGATTTCTCGCATATTGTAGCACTGCACCTTTTTATGTTCATATTAATTGGTTTACGTGCAAGTAATAGCGTCTAAAAACTAAGCTGTGTGCATATATATATATACAGTTGTGTTCAAAATAATAGCAGTGTGTTGAAAAAAGTGAATAAAGCTGAAAATCCTTCTAATAGCTTTTATTTCCATCCACACAAATGCATTGGGAACACGACACATTCTATTCCAAATCACAACATGAAGAAAAATACATCAAATTTGTGTTGTTCCTCTAAAAAAAATGGAAGAAAAGTGAATATTAGACGGTTCAAAAAAAATGTGTTTGTATTCTTTACAAACTCCAACATTCACTATATAAACTGAGAAATGTTTGAAGATTTTGCTTTCCTTTGAATGACTTCATGAATATTTGGTTGTAGTCGCACTGTTTCTGAGAACTGCTGTACATCTGTGTTGCATGGAGTCCCCCAACTTCTGGCCCCTGTGATCAGGTATTCCAGCCCAGGATGATTGGACCACATTCCACAGTTCTTCTCTATTTCTTGGTTTGGCCTCAGAAACGGCATTTTTGATGTCACCCCACAAGTTTTCTATTGGATGAAGATCCGGGGATTGGGCTGGCCACTTCATAACGTCCATCTTGTTGGTCTGGAACCAAGATGTTGCACATTTACTGGTGTGTTTGGGGTCGTTGTCTTGTTGGAACACCCATTTCAAGGGCATTTCCTCTTCAGCATAAGGCAGCATGACCTCTTCAAGTATTCTGATGGATTCAAACTGATCCATGATCCCTGGTATGTGATAAATAGGCCCAACACCGTAGTATGAGAAACCTCCCCATATCATGATGCTTGCACCACCATGCTTCACGGTCTTCACAGTGTACTGTGGCTTGAATTCAGTGTTTGGGGGTCGTCTGACAAACTGTCTCCGCCCACTTGACCCAAAAACAACAATCTTACTTTCATCAGTCCACAAAATGTTGCGCCATTCTCTCCTTAGGCCAGTCAATGTGCTCTTTGGCAGATTGTAACCTCTTCAGCGCACGTCTTTTTCCCAACAGTGGGACTTTGCGGGGACTTCTTGCAGATATCTTGGCTTCACATCGGCGTCTTCTAATTGTAACAGTCCTCACAGGGAACGTCACACCTTCTTTCATCTTCCTGGAGCTGATTGTTGGCTGAGTCCTCACAGGGAACGTCACACCTTCTTTCATCTTCCTGGAGCGGATTGTTGGCTGAGTCCGCCCCATTTTGGCTATTCTTCTATCCATTCCAATGGTAGTTTTTCGCTTTCTTCCGCGTCTTTCAGGTTTTGGTTGCCATTTTAACCATTAGCCGCCCGGCCAATAGCCGTTTGGCGGCTTGAAAAGCGCTGCAGCTTTCCGGGTCCACGCCATTTGGCGTGCTCCCGCACATGCGCCGTTTGCGCTATTGCAGAGCGGCGCAGCAGCGGGATCTGTCACCGCCCGTGCACCTCGGACACGGCCGATGACAGATCCGAGTACCGGCTCCCGTTGCCGGTACCATGTGACCTGCCGCGACCAATCACAGCAGGTCACATGACAGTTGTATACAATGGATGGCTTCATTCATGATGCCATCCATTGTATACTAGTGCCTAGCTGTGAATGGTCATAGCTAATCACATGCACATGTCATGTGATTAGCTGTGACCAAATCACAGCTAAGCACAAAAAAAAAAAAAAAAAAAAAAAAAAGCTGAATGAATCGATTTCATTCAGCTAAATGCTTGCTTATAGCAAAGTAATTCTTTGCTATAAGCAAATTGTGTAAAAAAAAAAAAAAAAATACTGATCACTTCCCCAAAGTAGTACAATGTTACTATGGTAACATTGTACTATTTTGGTCATAGTAAAATATGAAAAAAAATCTTAAAAAAAAAAAAAAAAAATGTAATAAAAAATTAAATATAATAAAAAAATAAAAAAAAATTAAAAAAAAATATAATTTTTTTTTTTTTTTCATACTGTCACCAGTCAGTGTCCCTGTTCACCGCCATGCCAGTTATATGATGACGCTGTACTGCACTGGTGACAGTATGTAAAAAAAAAAATAGTGAAAATAATATTTTTCATTTTTTCATTTTCGGAAAAATTATGACAAAAAAATACAACTTCAAAAAACTCGCCATGCCTCTTATGAAGTACGTCCGACTGTCTACTCAGCAAAAAGGGGTCATTTGGGGGATATCTGTACTATTCTGACATTCTTGGACCTCAAGAAATTAGATTGGCTGTCAGTACTTCAGGATTGATCAATACTCAGATCTATACCATAGTTTGTGAACTCTATAACTTTCCTACAAACTAAATAATACATCCTAATTTGGGTTATTTTCACCAAAGACATGTAGCAGAATACATCTCGTCCTAAATTTATGAAGAACAATTATTTATTTGTAAACTTTTATAACAGAAACAAAGAAAAATGTGTTTTTTTTTTCAAAATTTTTGGTCTTTTTTTGTTAATTTAGCAAAAAATAAAAACCCCAGCAGTGATTAAATACCACCAAAGAAAGCTCTAGTTGTGTGAAGAAAATGATAAAATTTTAGTTTGGGTACAATGTTGTATGACTGCGCAATTGTCATTCAAAGTGTGAGAGCGCTGAAACCTGAAAAATGGCCTGGGCAGGAAGGTGTAAAATTGCACGGTATTGAAACGGTTAAAGCATTTGCGATCATTTTAGCTGAGCAGCCGATCATTTTCTGCACTTCTTTATATGTTTTCCCCTCTCCAATCAACTTTGTAATCAAGGTACGCTGTTCTTCTGAACAATGTCTGGAACGACCTATTTTCCTCAGAATTTCAGAGAGAAATGCACTGTAACCAGCATGTCCAACATTTGCTGCCTTCCTTCCTTAAATAAGGGCAATAATTGCCGCCTGTTTTTCAAAGAATGAATGACGTCACTAATAGAACTCACACGGCTATTATTTTGAACACGCCCCTCAATGAGTGATTCAATGACACAGAATCAGCAGCATGCATGTCATGACTGTTGGGTCTGTTGGATTTCTATGACTCTACTACACCTGCTAGGAAATTATCTGCCATGTAGAAATATCATTTCCCCCAAAAACAGAGATTGATCCGGTTAGTGATGTCTGACGGCTAGTATTTTGAACACAACTGTATGTACAGTGAAGGAAATAAGTATTTGATCCCCTGCTGACCTCTGTGATTGCCAACAAGGGATCTGCCACCAAGTACTAAGTCATGTTTTGTGAAGGGGATCCAATCCTTCTTTCCCTCATGAACATGCAGATCCGTCATCATTTGTTAGACGCATTTCTGCTGAATTTGTTGTTGTATTCTGTCTCTCAGTGTTACACCGAACATTTGAATTTTAGACCGATCATTTCTGTGTGAGGGGCAAACATTCAAAATCAGCCGGGGAGCAAATACGCATTTCCTTCACTGTACCAGCAGAGAACACGGACATATGATGAATCAGATCTGTGGACCAATATGGCCGCAATTCATTCTTTTCTGTATCGCCCATGTTGAGGGTTCGATCCAAAAAAGTTTTAAATTTGGAAACCGTGCTAGGTTTCCATGCGGATTGTCTGGCAAGAGCTGAATTTGGGTGTGGCGGTCCTGTATTGTTGTGCGTATAAATTGCCTTGACCCGCAATCAATTGGTACAAGTCTTCCATGAAGAACAGCAGAGGGGTTAAACACTAGCGTTAGGGGTTGGTTAAGGACTAGAGTTAGAGCTAGTGTTCGGGGTTGGGGAATTGGGTTTGAGTTAAGGGCTAGGGGTTGGGTTTAGGGGCTAGGGTTAGAGTTAAAAGCCAGGGTTTGGGGTTAGAGCTAGGGTTAGGGCTTGGGGTTAGAGTAAAGAGCCAGGGTTTGGGTTAGAGCCAGGGTTTGGGGTTAGAGCCAGGGTTTGGGCTAGGGTTAGAGCCAGGGTTTGGGGGGTTAGAGCTAGGGTTTGGGTTAGAGCCTGGGTTTGGGGTTAGAGCTAGGGTTTGGGGTTAGAAGAGGGTTTGGGCTAGGGGTTAGAGCTAGGGTTTGAGTTAGAGGGTTAGATCAGGGTTTGGGGTTAGAGCCAGGATTAGATCAAGGGTTTGGGGTTTAGAGCCAGGGTTAGATCAAGGGTTTGGGGTTAGAGCCAGGGGTTGGGCTAGGGGTTAGAGCTAGGGTTTGGAGCCAGGGTTTGGGGTTAGAGTTGAGGGCTAAGGTTACAGTTAAGAGCTAGGGTTTGGGCTAGGGGTTAGAGCCAAGATTTGGGCTAGGGGTTAGAGCCAAGATTTGGGCTAGGGGTTAGAGCCAAGATTTGGGCTAGGGGTTAGAGCTAGGGTTTGGGCTAGGGGTTAGAGCTAGAGGTTGGGGTTAGAGCCAGGGTTTGGGGTTAGAGCCAGGGTTTGGGCAAGGGGTTAGAGCCAGGGTTTGGGGTTAGAGCTAGGGTTTGGGCTAGGGGTTAGAGCCAGGGTTTGGGGTTAGAGTGAGGGGTTGGGCTAGGGGTTAGAGCTAGGGTTTGAGTTAGGGGTTAGAGCCAGGGTTTGGGGTTAGAGCCAGGATTAGATCAAGGTTTGGGGTTAGAGCCAGGGGTTGGGCTAGGGGTTAGAGCTAGGGTTTGGAGCCAGGGTTTGGGGTTAGAGTTGAGGGCTAAGGTTAGAGTTAAGAGCTAGGGTTTGGGCTAGGGATTAGAGCCAAGATTTGGGCTACGGGTTAGAGCTAGGGTTTGGGCTAGGGGTTAGAGCTAGAGGTTGGGGTTAGAGCCAGGGGTTGGGCTAGGGGTTGGGTTTAGAGCCAGGGGTTGGGCTAGGGATTATAGCCAAGATTTGGGCTAGGGGTTACAGCTAGGGTTTGGAGTTAGAGTTGAGAGCTAGGGTTTGGGGTTGGAGCCAGGATTTGGG